GCTTTACGTTCCGGAACATGTGATAGGGCAGCCTTGAGAAACGTATATGAAAACGTGCCACTATGTGCCACTGGTAATCGAGCACCACGTGTTGAATGCCTCTGCAACCCAAAAAAACACGCTTCCTGAAGCCGAATGTTGCCGTTGGCAGAATCCAGCATCATTCACCTCTTCTATTGCAAAAGAACAATGGGTCCCGAAGTCTGGCCGCGGAGCCCTCTGCTAGCCTGGGGTTCTTACTGTAGCTTTGATGGCACAACGGACAGTCTCGCAAGCAATGAGCGTCTGATTTTGGGCTGTTTCAATGTAAAAAGACGGCACGTGCTAGGCGTGCTCGCAATTCCTAGATCTTTGGCAGAGTAGCTGAGTTTCCACTCATGCACGGCTTGGAGAATGTCGACATGACATATCCGAGCAATCTTCGCTTGTGACATTTTTGCGGGGCTATGGGAATCAGCTGCCTCGGTGTTGGAGAAAACAGTATGTTGCTCGGCCTATCTGTTGAAATGCAAAAGAAATTTTGCAAGCATGACAGGAAGCCGCCATACGGTGGCAGTGTCTAAAACAATCCATGTCCAGAACCTTTTTGATATAGTCAAGCAAACCGCAAGGACTCCCAGCGCGAACCGCAAACCTTAAACTCTCAACCGCATACCATTTCCACCCACATGCAGACTCCTTAACCTTCCAACCATACTACCTAAACTTCGGGAGCCGTGCTCAATTTTCCTGCCCAACTTCTACCCTAAACCCGGATTGACAAAAGCGATGATACCGTTGCATGTGTGCTCCGATCTTCAAAGCCGACCTCCGCGGACGCACTGGCAGCTACACATATATCCATCTTTTCATGATTGCTGTGGGAAACCATCATATTATTATACATATGGGTGGTTGTCAAAATTAAGGTCCCTTTTTGGGTATCCTTAATGGCCTTAATATGCCTTAATGGTAGGTGCCGTATTGTATGAAGGACCCAAAAAAGGACCCTAATTTTGACCACCCATCCATCCATATATATATATATATATATTTATTTATTTATTTATATACAGTGCACTAGCAACCTGCTCACAAACCCACCTACCACCCCAGCACCACCTAGCTAAGGGAGGCAGCAACCGGCGGATCCCAGTTGCCGGGAGATGCCTAGCTTTCCGCTAGCAGAACTCCCAGCAAAGCCGCTCGGGCTACCAAGTTTCTTGGGCTTTTTGTTTCACCGATCGAGCCGCCTTTCTGTTCTTCACTTCCCCGAAGTAACTTTCGGAGTGTTCTAGCAGCTTGCCCAAGGTAAGCTGGATAGCCGATCGCTTGGAGAAGGGAGACAGGCTACAGAGGCCTGTTCCCCTGGAAGTTACCGCGGGGCCTCTCAGCTTCTTTTCTGACGCATTTGACGCTAAGGCCGAAGAAGGTCGCGCCTGGATAGGAGGCTTTCTGGAGCTCGTTCCAAGATGCCAAGGGTCTTGGTTCTCGCTAGCCGCTAGAAGTTGAACCAGACTGGGCTCCCTCAAAGTGAATGCAGCCCTGGTAGCCGTGTGGCTTTGGATCCCAGAGGGCAACGCTATGAGTCTTTCCCCCGGGTTGCTTTGAGAGGCTGTACGGACAATCAGTCCAACGAGGCCTTGCTAAAGAAGCTGATGACCACCAAGTTCCCTTCAGGGCTAGTTCTGATGGAGCTAGCAGGGGAGCTGGAAGTGCGGAACTGCGAGCTTCAACTACAGTGGGTCCGTCGTGGCCTGAACCAGCTAGCAGATGATTTGCGATCACTTTTCCCCGGACTTTAGAGTCCTGCTAGTCGGCAAGGAGCTGCGTTGGCGAGTAGCACTCGCAGCATGGTTGGCACTTGCGGCGGTCCCTGACAGCCCTGGACAGCTGAAGACCAAGCGTATAGCGGACCTAGAAAAGGTTTTTCCCAGGCCAGGGGCATAGCTGCGAAGCCAAGTCTCCCCAGACCTTAGGCCATCTCCTTCCCAATGATGTAGCCCGCGTCCACGGTCCTACGTAGCCAAAAGACACGCCACCCTGCACGCTTAGCGGAAAGGCCCAACCGGTAGCTTGAGTACTCTGTTTCCATGCCTAGCCTCGACCTTGAAGCCACCACGCGACTTAGCCCACTTGGACGGGTAGCCTAGGCTGGCAAAGTAAAGGTAGCTCACCGGGATGCCGTGCCTACCCTTAGTGTTGCAGCCTAGCGATTAGAGGTCATCGGCATAGAGCGCCATGTCTATCGTACTCCGGGCCCAGGAGATGGTGAGTTAGCCTCAGACCGCACGCGGCGATCAGAGACCACCAGTGGCTGGCGCACGAGAAGCTAAAGGTCCCCACCAGATGATGTAGACTGTCTGTGTAGCGGCATCCACGTGCACCTCCTCCTCCTCCTCGAGGCTGATCTGGCACCCCAGGAATCCGTGCTCCTTGCCTGTAGTGCCCGTGGGCCTTAGCGATGTCTCCCACCACAGAGAAAGCAAACTTCTTCGAGGCTATCATCTCCCGGAGGAGTTGTTTCTTCTCTCTAGCTCCTGGGGCCCTTAGCGGACTCCGTGAGCAGCGTCATGGATGATCCGCCGCTTGTCAGCGGTCATCCTCCACGATGACGGCAAGTGCTGCAATCGCTCTAGAAACCCGCTTCCGCGTTTTCGTCGAATTTCTGCTTAGCAAAGCTGTGGTACTCTTCGATCGAGGCGGACTTGGGCACCCACGCTAGCGAGGCCTCCCACGGGACGTTCTCGAGCGGCCACTTTAGCTGTTCTTCGTACACATATGGTGTGAGTGGTCGCGGGTCCAGGATCCCCACCGGAGGAACTCTTTACGCGGCCTCGATCTTGTTCTTTAGCTGCCCCCGGTCCCCCAGACGTGGTAGCAGGTAATCACCTTTAGCCAATCCTTCTCCTTGAAGAAGGCGGGCTCAGAAACACATACAGGTAGCTCGTTGACTTTCTTGTTCGGGCCAGAGGTCTTCGTCTTTCTTAGCGTGCTTGTCAGGCCCAGGTCTTCACTGACTCTGTAGCCACTAGCCTTTCCCACGTCGACAGCCAACGCCCCAAGCCCCAAGCGCATAGACGGGACAGCGAGGGGCCCGCTTTATTAGCAGGTGTCCTGGGAGAGCTCTCGGTGATGATATCTCTGGCTGCCAGTGCCACCCGACCATAGGTAGCTCGTTCTTCTGGCGGCACCTCGGCCACCTTTTCTCGCCAGGATCGGCCGTAGCACGGCATCGGGAACTGAACGGCCGCAAGTCGTCTCGCTCACCGGTCGGTGGCCGTGCTCAGAGTGGTCGCCCGCGTGCTCCCAGCGAGCAAGCTAGGCCTCGGATCGAGGCTTCGTTCTAGCTGTTCCAGGACTGGGGCCCGGCACTCCTTTAGCTCCTCATGGAAGTGGCCGGTCCAAACCTCCGAAAAACGTTCGTTTCTAGCTTGCTGCACGCTACCTTCGAGGACCAACCTCTTCCTCCTCCCCCCCGGCGGGGGCTTCTCCAGCGAGCCAGTGGGAAGGGCAGGGACCCCGGTCCTCGCCCTAAACGGCGCGTCGCCCATCTTGAGGTAGCCGGCGATACGTAGCTCTATGTTGGCCTTGGTTCTGGCCTCCTTATCCACCGTCGTAGCCCTTCTTCATCTCGAATGGTAGCCAATTCTTGGTTCCGGTATCCGTGTCCCTGCAGGTGCATTCAGCAGCGCTCTAGCAATGACTGCCTCCTCTTAGCTTCGGGGTCCAGCGGCGCTCCACTCCCTTGGGGTGGCGTCCCACGGGCTTGGGGTTCTGCATCTAGCAAGGCCACCTCGCTTAGCCCTGAACTGTCTTGCACCTCTTCCGCCTCCATAGCGAGCGGGGCCCCGACCCGTCTCCTTTCTCACACTACTCTGAAAATTTCTACCCAAGGGAGTTCTAGCCGTAATGGCTACCCATAGAACATGTCAACTTTAGCAAAACACCTTCGATGTTTACATAACACACGGTTATTGCAAGTGTGCCTTTGCATTTCGTGCTCCAAACCCAGCTTACAGAACTACAACCTGTTCATGACAAACTTTGATCTTGCGGTCTCCGCAAGGCATAGCGATTGGATCATTTTCAGGGCCTGCGGGTCAATAAACCCCGCGACCCAGTATATGGTAAACACATGTCGCATAAACAAATGTGAGAAGTCAAAACGGCTGTAACAGCAGGACAACACCCGGCCACCAGGAAGACATCGTTGAATCTGCTGCACTCGGCCTTCTCAAGCTTGCGGTTGTAAAGCTGCCGCTGCTTCTCTGCCAGCTCATCCCAGAATCTGCCCTGATCGGGTAACTCCGAGACAGTTTTCTTAAAGTCCACGGTCACATGAATTCAACGAGGCTACGCAAGCTTATGGACGGTGGAAGGACACGCAACTCCCACAGCCAAATGCTTGTTTTGGCCTGTGGCTGAGTCTTTGGCTCCGTCCCGACGCTTGCCAGGGCACGATCAACACAGGGATGCCGAAACTCCTTAGTGACAATGCGCGCAAGGCTAATGAAGCTCTTCGCTCCTTGTCATCTTGAAGCCATCGTGAACTAAATCCGAGAACATTTCGCTTCGAAGCCGGCGGGATGACGGCATTCATATAGGATATGTGCGCCAAGTCTCAACAGTGGCTTCTTCAATATCTGTCGAGTTCACCTCCGAGGATTCTTCGGCTCCGTTCACTGGCTGCACGTTTGCCGTTACTAGCAGTGGCCTTGACATCCTTTCTTTGATGCACAGGGAAACCTAGAAAATAGCATCCTTGCTTGGATAGTCTGCAAACTTGCAAGTGATGCCAGGCTGGACCAAGAAAGCAGCATACAGCATGCCTCGGACTTCGATTCGGAAAAGATGACGACGCTCTCGTCTACCTGAGCTGCATGGGCAAGACTAAACACCTCCATCGCTCGCCAGGTCTTACTAGCATCAGGTGTAAGGAGGTATTCGACTAGCCAGGGCCGGCTTGCTCTTGGCTGATACAGCGCTCACCTTTCGCAAAGTCACCAAGAAGGTCCGCTTCAGACAGCAGCCACGGGCGATTCCGAGCTCCTTCTCTAGGTCAGGCTGTTAGCTCCGGGTGTTGCTCATACAAAGTCTGATCTGAGCTTCACTGTGTGACTGCTCAGCTGCTGCACGTGGCTGCGCTTATGCATGAGCCAGATTAAACTACGCTTGCCTTATATGTTTAATTGCGTTACACTTGGGCCCTTTTCCTTCACCCTTTAATCTCCTTTTGTTCTAGGTTATACCACTGGGAGTCTGGGAGGTCTATCGGTAACAGGGTATCCTGCTCATCGAGGGAGATGTCGTAAGCTGTCTTGTGGTTTAATTCAATAGAACAAAGGTAATGGAGTATAAGGAAGCACGCGTCGTTCTTATTTGAGTAGACACAGCACCAAATGAAACAAGACAACAGGAAACAACTATGATCAGACAGTAGCGACAGAAAACAACGACAAGTTTTCCAAGAAAAAGACGGGACTTTGTCCGTAGGCTTTCTGGGGTGTGCCTTCATTGTTGCTTATTGGTTCGATTCCCGTTTCTCTTCGTGCCACGTCTTTCCCTTGCAAACGAACCACCAATAAAAACCACATCGCTAATAAAACGCCAGACTCACCAACTAGAAGGCAAATTTCACTGTGTTCCAGTTAAACGAAAACAACGCGCTTACACTCATTACGTTCACTTTGCTGTTTGCTTCCTTTTCATTATAACGCTGGCGTTCACTACGTTCATTTCAGTCACTTCGTTCACCTTGTACAAGTGAGTGAAGCGTGAGCGGGTTGAATGCATGAAAAGGGTAAATAATTGAAGTAAGAAAAGTGAACGGCCTGTGTATTTCGTTCGTACTGTGTTGTTCTTTTTAATGAAATGAACCACGTTTACGTTTCCCTCATTGTGTTCCCTTCATTGCAAAAACACCCCAGACTGCTCTGTATTTTCTGGGTGTTTGCAGAATTGATTGAGTGACTTGTGCCTTTTCGGATGTCGTGTCCTGGCCTTTGGTTGCAGTCACGTTCATACCCGTGCCAATTTTGCTCAAGTGAAAACGCCTAGATTACAATACGTTTGTCACTTTATTCAACTAGCACCCAAGCACTCACTTGTCCTTTCCTCATCTAGTTCCAGGTTATTCACAGCTGACAGTGGAGCCTAGTCACAACCTTGGTCTTTAAGGCAAACGAGTTAGTTCCTAGGGCTGGTTCCATAAAGAACTACCTGTCAGCGATGAACCAAATCCAAATGGCTCACTCTGGTTCTTACTTCGCTTGATTAAAAGCGGAGAAGCATGCTTGCTTTCAGCCATTATCTTCTTCGGTTAAACCAATAAGAAACCGCACCATCGTGAATCTTTCTACGTGACAGGAACTCGTGTGTCTCATTTCGTTCATGGCGAATTGAATAAGAGAAAACCGTATGTCACTCACTTCGTTCCTTCTTCCTTAGGCTTGTTGGATTCTTTCGCACGCTCCATTCACTTCATCTTTTCCACCGTGTCTGCTAGGTGCTTGGGTTACATCTTGGAGCTAATAGCAAGATATATTCCCAAAATCTATTGTCGTTCCCAAAGCTTGACTTAATATTGATAAGAACCGAATTTATGCTTCATTCCACTGCATTCGCTCCTCATTCTGGCTCACATTACAATATATTAAGCTGTTTGGTCATGTTAAATTTGGCGCTCTGGAAACAACCATGAAAGATAGACTACTTGTTGGATGATTTGTTCCTTGGCAGTCAATGGTCAATAGTGATTAGTTAGAGACGGTTATCTGTTCAATCCTGATTACGTTGACACGACCAGTTCCACAGAAGACATCTGAGTTAGACTTTCCATCACTACCTCGATTCGCACCCTGCCCTTGCTCAGCGATTTACAGCCGGTCCTTGAACTGAATGAGACCGAAAGGCGCACCTAGATTGGTGCTGCGAGCGCTGGGAGTCGTACAGGTTTGAACATAACTCGGAAAGTCTGCAAAACGACCTGTGGAGTGTGACCAGGCGTTGAGTCCCAGAGGCATGTTGCGAACTCAATCCAAGGCTTGGGGGCTGCGTGGATCTACTGCACCACATGCTCCGACTTAATTACTTCGCAGCAAATGCACCGCCATCGCAACCATGACCGTCCGGCACACACTAGATGAACTGAACCGCATCCCCGGCACCTTTCGCATCACGATCCAGGCGCAGCCTCAAACAGATTCATGCGCATAATAAGAAACGACACGGTATGCGGCTGCTGGCTGCAGCTGTCCACAGGAGTGTGTCCGTATTGGAGAACCTCGACTCTGAAACTGTGGACTCCCGCATCTGACTCCAAAAGCCCCAACAAGATTGCCATCGCTCTCGGGCCGCAATAGACGTAGTACCCAAGTACCCCCTTGCTCATCAGCTCATCACGTCCAGGTGGGGCGCAGACGTGCACCGTCTATATCGATGGACAGAATCGCGCCCCGCGTTCGTAATTCGAGATTGCACGCGAGGGTATGCAGGGCTCAAACGATATTGCATACAGATCAACTGCAAAAGGCACCCGCTTCGCTCACAGGTTGTAAACTCCTGCGTCTTAGAATCCGAACTGGCTACAGTCGCAACTGAGACTCTGTCTCCGCAAAATGCGTCTCAAAACTTCGACAGAAGGTCCAAAAAGACAAACTTCCAGACTCGGCTTTGGGTCGTTGCTCAAGACAAGCGGCTGTTCCACGCTGCCGAACTGCTCTCCAAGCCGCTGCAACTCCTAGCACAAGGCCCACAGGGCCCAACACAAGCTCTGCCGAGCCTACCCAGAGACCCCCCCCGCCCCGCTCCTGCAGGGTCGTCGACTCTGGCAGCCCGGAAACGTGCACTGTGCGCAGAATCCGTGCCTCGTTGTTTCAGCTACCCGTACGATTGCAATGACCACCCACGCTCTCAGCCTGCCCTCCACTGGGATGCAGCTAGAGCAGCTAGAACTTTTAAGCTTCCGGCCTCCGCATGCTCGCGCAGCTTCTTGTGCCACTCTTGCCTGGTCGGAGCTCTGCGGCTCAGGTGTGTGCAGAGCCCTCTCGCCATGATGCGCCGCAGCGCGTCTTCTTGAAGAAGCCCTACAAGAGAGGAAGAACACATCCCCTTGAGAAGACGATGCACTGGGCCTGGCGACTTCGGGATCTTCCTTGTTCGCGATCTCCTCTTCTTTGGCCTGTCTGAGTGTTGCTCTGAGGCTCGCACGACACCGTTTGACAAATATACGACAACCTGAAGTGATGAAAGTGGACTTTGTAGCAGCATCGGCAATGGCAAAACATCCAACGCATACTGCCGGCCTGTAAACGGGCAAGGACATCGTTGGCTGCATAAGCCGTCGGATCAATGGCCTCGGTTCTACTGATTGTATGTAAAACTGGTCTCCAGCGAACCAACACCAAGAAGAACTTGCAGCCATGTCTCCTTCAGATGTGCGAGAGAGAGAGGGGGATAGATAGATAGGTAGGTAGATAGGTACATGGGCAGATAGGTAGACAAGTAGATACGTAGATAGACAGACAGATATATAAACAGATAAAAAGATAAACAGAGATATAGAAACACAGACAGACAGATAGACAGATAGACGGATAGAACCATGGATGGATGGATGGATGGATGGATGGATAGATGGATGGATGGATGGATGGATGGATGGATGGATGGACGGACGGTCGGACAGATGGACGCATGGACGGATGAACTGCTGTACGGACGGACGGACGGAGGGACGGATCGACGGCAGGATGCCACCAGAGGTCACTGCCATCCATTCAATCTCTCTCTCTCTCTCTCTCTCTCTCTCCCATCTGCTTGCAGTCTTGAGTTTTGCCTGCTCTGTTGCCAGCCTGAGCCTTCTCTCAATCTTTGCCTGCCAGGTTAGCACAGACTGCTCCTTGCAGTCTGCAAGCTAAAGGGAGGTGAGCTCTCCACATGGACGAATGGACGGATGGAGGGACGGCTGGCCGGATGGACCGACGGATGGATGGCTGGACGGATGGGCGGACGGATGGACGGACGGATGGATGGACGGACGGGTGCATAGAAAGACAGACAGACAGACAGATAGATAAAGGGACAGGTAGATGTCGGCAGGTACTAACAGGTACATAGAAAGGTAGGCGATGGATTAATAAAATGAGCGAATTCATGAATCGATAAATACATGAACAGATAGATACACAGAGGAGAGAGAGATAGACGGCGTTACACGGTGATAGACAGCCGGGTATGCAGAGGAATGGATAGCAAGATAGATACATGATGGTGACAATGACTGTGAAGATGACGATGGCGGGCAGGCTCCCTAGCTCGCACTTACTAAAAAGCCCCGAGCTTGTCTGAATGTCAGCTCAGCATCAGAACAGCGGATTCCAGTGCCGCAGATCGGGGTCCCTGTACCACGAATATGTCGGCATACGGTATTGCGTGCTTTTTTATGACTCTCTGCCCTGTCTTCCATTCAGCAGCTGCTTGCATCTAAACTCGGAAGTGTGGACCGTGCGCTTGCAGAACAATGTTTCTCAGGCCACATGGTCATCACACGCTGTGGCAAAAAGCGTGTGCCTTCCATCTTACTCGCCTGCACAACGCCATCTGCGGTCTGGAAGTTAAGCTGCGCATACCACTTCCTCAACGTGCAGTGAACTTCATTGGTCGACTTGGGCTCTACTGCGGATGAATACGTCCCAACATGTCCCAACATCCTAGGCAAGCATACCGAAAATCTCCTAGTCCCAATCACTCCTGTGGCAAGCCAAGTGTCAAGGAACCAGGATAGGTGCGGAAGATCACCTTGCATTCGCCGTGGTGAACACATTATTGTCCCAAACCCTCTGCTCAACCTGCCTGGTCCAAAGGCCCACATTGCCGAAAGACCTCGCGCAGCGAATCTTCGGTTACCTGGACTCCAGGGAAAGCTGCAGGGCGTTGAAGCTGGGAGCAATGTTTGCAGCTGCAACTTTGTCCGTTAGCGCTTTCTGGCTTTTCGTTTTTCGAGGTACGTCGTGTGAATCGCGTGTGGGCGCGGGGTTTGGGTGTGGGGCTGTGGGGCTGCAAGGCTGTGGGGGTGTGGGCGTGTGTGCGGGCAGGCCCTGGCCTCGCAGAGCGCTTACGGCAATGACATGTAACAGTCATGACATGGCCACTGCATTCATGTATGTATGCTCTGTCTCACATTGGCTCAAGTGCGCGTAAACTCTTTCAGCGAAACGCACAGAAGCAATGTGCTGCTGCCTGTGCCAAGCAAGCCATGAGGTCGAAGCACGATAAATTTTTAAACTACCCTGAGTATTCCCGTTGGAATGCGGAGCACTTCAAAGGCAGCTTTCTGGTAACGGAGCCCAGCGGCTCGCCTGTGGGCAAGCGGGCATGTGGTGTGCTGCAGGCATGTGGTGGGCGTGAGGAAGTATGAGCGCATAGGCGGGGGCTGTTGGGTGTGGGGTGTGCGCGCGTGTGAGAGTGCCGGTGTGAGGGTGCGGGCGTGCGGAATGGGGGCGTGTGGGGCTGTGCATGTGTGTGTGTGCTTATGTGCGTGTGTGTGCTTGTGTGTGTGTGTGCGTGCATGGGCAGACAATAAGAACATAAATCATCCAGGCAACAGTGACGCTGAGGTTGCTTACCTCAAGAGCGAAAGTCAGATGCATCTGTCGGTTGCAGCCGAGACTTTCCAGCCTATACTCAACACCCTCATCGAAAGAACATCGAAAAGCTCGTAAACCTGCAGCCTGCAGCTTTAAACTGCGATGCTGCGATGCTCAAGAATTTTCCATGGTGCATACAGGCTGTGCTTGTCTTTCACGTCAAGGATGGCGCCGAAGGACACGGCCGCAGCGATGGATGGGGCTTCCGTAGCATTCGGCATGGCATCGGCTAGTACATGAGTATGTCCCACTGAAAATCGATCGGCACCTAGCTCAGGATGCGGGCAAAGTACGGTCCAACTTGCAAGCTCAGTTCATGATTGGGGTTTCCGCGAACCAAGTCCAGATTTCGGCTCAGCAATGCTCCGTGCATCAAAGATGGCAGCGGCAGATTGAGCATGCGCAAGGCCAGCGACGGCTCGGACTTCGGCAACGCCAATCCAACCCGCGTGGGAAAAACATCGAAAAGCCAGGAACCGACGATGCACCCAAGCTGCTCGAGCAGCCGCTGGTTTGCATGAAGGTCTCCGAATCGCAGCCTCACATGACAGAACTGGCTGTGTAAATGCTATTTCCCCGGTAGAAAACATCAACTGTCGGGCCTCACGAGGTTTCAGACTACAGGCATCGACAGGTGCTCCAAGCACATCGTGGAAAGCATGTTCTGCAAGGCTGTGCGAACCGAACCAAGCTCAGTCTCAACAGGTCTGAGTTCCTTCAAAGGCTCAAATCCTGCCTGGCTTTTGGAGTGGAAGTACCCGTGCGCCCGACTCTACTCGGTAGCTAGTAACCAATAACTTGGGGAACGCATCCTAGCCTCTGGAAGCCGGACACCGGCAAGAACCCACGCCATAAGTATGCTGTAAGATCAAAAAGTTGGGGAAAGCATCCTTAGACTTCTGTTTGCGTGAGATGCAACGGTCTGTCGACGGTCAGCATACGGGATGTGGGTGGCCAGGATTCGAACATGCTCAACCGAGTCAAACCGAAATCGTCGGCGGTCTTGAAACTTCTGTTATTAGGTTGTGCGCAATGAACGGGCTTCAAGGCTGTGGAGCACGAAAGCTCTGCTGTCCGGGCCGCAGTCTCAAAGCGGCCTTCCTGAAGGAAGCTATGCACTGACCAGTCCACGATGGATTGGCGAGATCAAGCTTCAACGAAAGAATTAGCGGCTGAGCCAAGAGACAAACTGACCTGTGCGAGCAGCCAACTCCTTTACAGCCGAGCATCGTCTCAGCAAGCGTGGCCAGTTGTCCGCCGAGCTCGGGAGACCCTCGATCTGAGGCACCGAAGGAGGCGCGGGTCGTCGCGAATTTCGAGCTACGTAACCAATATGCTAGCAGTGCTGAATATTTATCGACCTGCGGCGGTCAACTGCTTTTCCGTTGCAACACGTTCCTTGTCGACCAGAGCCTCTGGCGGAGGAAGGAGTTGAAAGGCCCCAGCAGGCCACCTGTCTCCTAAGCAAAGACATGATGACATGACGGATCATGACCGTGGATGGTGCGGTTTCCTTTCTCTGAATGGACCGACCGGGGCGGTGACCTCGTTCACTCGCGTTTTCAGCGGCCTCGGAGGCCGAGGTCGCAAACGAGGAGGCCACTCGGCTGGGGAAGACGCTCGGCTCACGGCTTGCCGGATGCGTCTTTGGCTCCGGAAAGGATGCGATCCTGGTGCAAGAGGACTCTGCTGCACTGCTCGTTTTGAGAGAAGTTTCGCGCCAAAGTGGCGTAGAGCGCCCGCTGCGCTTCGCTGAGCACCGACGGGAGCAGCTCCGGGAGCCGCGAAAGGCGGCCAGGGCCGCCAGGCGCCGCCAGGGCGGTCGCCCGGCGGTCGCTCCGGCGGTCGCTCCTTTGCAGAAACGCTCCGGGTGCCGGCTTCTGCAGGAACGGCAATTGGGGTTCTATGACGGTTCTTGCGACGTCTTTCGCAACATGTCCTGGACTCTGAGGGTGCTTGAGGTGCAACCCGAAGCATCTGAGTGGGTGTAGGACTGTCACCACAAACGTTAGTTAGAATTGCCTTGTAACCGATAACGTTGTGGGGGCGAAATGGGGCGAACTGTCGAGTCTTGCCATGCCTGGGAACCTTGGAAGTGTTTCTGAACTTGACTGCAACCTGGCCGCCTGCTGTGCCATGCCGACAATCGCATGCGTTATGCCGCTACGCTGGACGCTGGCTGTCGAGCTCTCTCGAGGTCACGATCCCCAAGGAGCAGGGCTCGAACCAGCGTGCAGCTTCCTGGAAATGATCTGTCTTGAGCCCATCTGTCAACTCGCAAGGGCAAGGCGACTGGCAAGACAAATGGGCTGGTAGACGCACCCAGAGGACAGTCATCAAGATACACATCTAGTATGAGCCTAGGGCCAATGTGCATCATGCAAGCTAACCTGCGCTCGACATGGCTTGCACAGTCAGCAGAAGACTACTATCGGTGCACAGAATAGTTGGTTGCATTGGTTGGTTCATGGCACTTGCAGCTATGGAAGCGCACCCACACACACACTTGACACATCGTGTCGCAGGTCTCAAATCACACTCTCAAAGTCAGAAGAGTCAGCTTCTTGATGCACCTTGAACCTTTGGCCTGAACTCGCACTCAGAATCGCACTCGGAATCACCAATGTACAGCGACGATGTCATTGCAGAACCATTGCACAGCTTGTACTATGGACGATGTCACAAATAA